ACACACTAGCTCCCATTTCCGCCGCGTCTATCCTATTTCTATCTATAATACCAAGTCTATGACTTCCCATACCCTAGTCCCTTTTGTGCCAGACCCAAAAACATTTGTGGGGCAAGAGAGAGACTGTTGTAAGACTCAGGACATGGTGCTTTCCTATTAGTCTTCCTACCAATATAACCAAGTTGCAAAAACAAGGCCGATTAGAATGCGACTCAAATTGACTTTGAACTTTCGTGTGGTAGACGCTATAAAGAGCATGCACGAGAAATAGAGCAGCTATTTAAAGGGAATAAAATCAACTAATCCCTAAAGGACAGGATATTCGTTGAATTCAGTGAAAGATTAGTAGCAAAACTACATAATTACTATAAAACACCTAAAACAGCAAAATGATCACTCAAAAATACAAGGTTAAGATGGATGCAAGCAAATAGTAGAATGGTTAACCCACTCAATGATCGTATAAATTCGACATATTGGTTGGATTTACATGCAGTCAAACATTTAAGCTTCGAGGAATGAGAGAATAAATATTTATTCAGTCATATGTTTACTCAAACAAGAAAATAATGTCAATAATAATATATAATATAATAAAAAAAAGAGAATTCATTAAACAATGAGAGCCATGGAGGCAAAAAGACAGGGTAGATGGAGAAATTAATTTCAGATAGCGGATGGTATGTGAGATGCCATTGAGAATGTGAGCATACAGAGAATCGGTAAATTAAGCGGAAATATAACTAATATATAGATAAAAGAAAAATAAATTAAAAGAGAAAAAGACACATGTAAAAAGAGTAAAGGCAGACCACTGTTCGAACACTGGTATTAACATTCAAGGATGGCTTATCAATAAATAATAAAAATAAATATGATTACGATAACTACCAGTCGCTGTGCAACGGTACCTTCACTCCATAAATTTATTAAAGAAAATTTTACAATTAATTCACTAATAGGACAGGAGAAATAAAGAAAAGAATATATAAATATAACAACAATAGTTTGATGCGATGAGTAAGAGTAATATGAGGTGAGTTGGAGTTGTAAGAAAGAGAAGGCAAAAACAGGCAGAAAAATTGGAGAAGAGTTAGATGTCAAGTAAAGATCGCTGTTGTTTAAAATTTCATAAATTAAAATAAGAATCAGAAACAATGATATTTTAGCAACGATCGAGGACGATGAGCCAAAATCTGCCAGTTGCAAAAGGGCTATGTGTATATATATTCATTTTAGGAAAGACTCAGATATTACAATTTGAAAAAAATTAAAGATCCAAAGCAATTCATTAATGTCTAGCTATGGATCAGTATTTGGTAGAGGATATGAATAAGTGTTGAGTAAAAAATGGATTAAGTTATAAAAAAATAAAATAAGGTTAGTTAAGTACACGTGTGGGTCATAGAATTTGAGGCACCATATCTAGTGTCAAGCAAGATGGCTTCAACGACTGTGCCTTTCGGGAGGAATGAAAGGCAACTTTCGGAGGCAGTTGCATCTACAGATTTAGCCACTGCAGCCATAGCTTCTGGAACCGGGACTGCTGAAACTTCTGCTTTTTCTATCAACGATGGCCCCGCTTCAGTAGCGCCCGATGCAGACGGCAACACGAGAAGGAGATCACACCCGTGAGCGCAGCTAAGAAGGCGTGAGCTTGTTTGGTCCCCCTGAAGAAGACAGCTAGCCTCGGGAATCGAGACTCCGCCTGGCTCTATCCGATTCCATAAAAGATGAGCACGTCGATACTCAGGTCTTTCTTGATCTAAGGGACCGACCGAGTCACGGAGACGTACGTGAAGTCGTTGAGGCAGAGATTTATCAATGACCCAAGAGGGCACAACTGGCGTATTGGAACCATTTAAGTGATCTTCACTGCAACCTTGATTTCGCTGACCAAATTCAGTCAAGCTAGATGCTATGTAAAGGCAGCGGAGGGCAGGTAAAAGGAGAATATGAGCGATGACAAAAGAGGAGGCCGGGTTGCCAGGTAAACAGAAGAAGAGAGTGCGGTGATTTTGGCTGAACATGTAAGGGTAAAAATAAAAGGAAATCGTACAGAAATGAACAAAATAGCTCCGTATGGCTAAAATAAAAAAATGGAATTAGATGGTTTTAATGTGAAATATCTTCCAGAATATGGGGCGCAATTACTTATCTAAAAGTTCTCAGTAATAATATAGCACTTTGTCCTTCTCACTCTCTTGAGTGCCCAACTTATTTCTTTCTTGTTGTGGGAGACAGTATATCCATTATATTTTACTGTAAAAATGATTTAGAAGACGGCAGTTTGTGAGGACTGCTGATAGCAAAATTGACAATTTGATGGAATGCAACGAGCATAGTCATAGAAGAGAGAAAATATGAAAATTCATAGAGATCCACCATTTACATAGTCATTAAAGATGTGTAGACAGATGAGTTAGTAATTAGCGTTATTGGGTGCAAAGAATAATTCCTGAATAGTGTTCACTCGTGTGTATGTAGGAGAAATCAATTTTACATCCAGTGTGAGCGATGCTCTCCATGAATAACAACGTGATAACTTAAGGACTAAGATAATGCGGTCTTATGCACGGTCGAAGTGTACTCTCATTTAATTGGTCTGTACTATAGATAGAAATATGGAGGAGGCACTAACTTGGAGCGGAATTAATTCATTTCATTGCTTATGAAAATGTCTGATGAAATCCGCTGATCGGGGTCTCCACAAGACCTAATAGCTGATCCAAGTTTCTATGAAGACGTTGAATATACTATGACGCTCAAGTTGGCGAAGTCGGTCCGACTGAGAATAGGCCGAGCTTTCTTGTCATATGACAGAGCATAAGAGCGGGATCTCATCCTTACAAAAGTTCAAATTAACATTAAATCAAGAGAATACTTAGCTCAGCCTTACATGCTATATATAC